AAGCATCATGATGATAAGCAGCTGAAGTGATCAGCGTCCGCTCGGATAATTGAAAAAAAAATCTATTCCAAATTATTTAAGAGATCGATTTGCATAGTTTCATGTTAAATTGTTCAATGTTTAGAGTTCGTCTCACTGCGTTTTATTTGCGTTTGCATTTGCCCTTCTTTTTTTTTTGTAATATTCGGTGTGTATTTTTTGATACCCTTGCTGAGGTTCACGAAAAATGTAACGCATTGAAAGACGCTGCTCTATTTCCACGGAGCTTTCAAAATTCTTAATCAGCAACAGTTCAACCTATATATTTTTTACCAAAATAGTTTATACTCTCAAGCTGCCTAGACCCCAAAAGCTTTGCACTATATGACTTTTTGCTGCAGCTAGACATAAATATGTGAAAGTCGAACGGATCAAAAACTAGACGTAGAGCTTTTGAATAAAAACTTTTGTTATAAATAAAAAAAATGCCATCTACATAGAAATTCTCAAACATAAAGTTCGCGCAACTCGGAACAATATGTCAAAATAAAACAAAATTTTTTGTAATATAATTTAATTAAATTTTTGCTCCTGTTTAGTGTAGATCGAAAATGAAATTTTTCAAATAGAAAAAGTTTTTTATATTACCACTGCAGCTTAATGATATAGAGATCCGATCTGGCCTGCAACAAAATGACGTATTTATGCAAAGTTTCATGAGCACAGCTTTATCGACTTGGCATTTGAAGCTAATCAGGAAAATATATATGTATATATATATACAATATATATGCTTTCTGGAGATATTTTCCACGCATTACAAATTTCTCAATATTTTGCGTAAGCAAATAAATATTAATTTATAGTTGACAGAGTTATTTAGAAAGTTTATATTATTTTCATCAGGTATTAGGTTGCAACTAACTAAAAATAATTCGTTGGAAGACTTCATATGATGTACTTTAGTTAAAAGTTGCTTTGTCTAGAACTTTGTGAACCTCATCAAAAAAGCAGCTGTCAAATTGTCATGTAAACGCGACTT